GTTCCCTCTCTCGTTGTCTCTCTCTGTGTCAAATAAATAAATAAAATCTTTTATATAAAAGAAAAGTATTTGGCAACCTTTGAAGGTTTTTTTTTTTTTAATATCTTATTTATTTGATAGAGCATGAGCAGGGGGAGGGGTGGAGGGAGAGGAAGAAGCAGACTCCCCACTGAGCAGGGAGCAGCCCGATGCAGGGCTCATTTTCAGGACCCTGAGATCATGACCTGAGCCAAAGACAGATGTTTAACCGGCTGAGCCAGCCAGGCGCCCCCATTGAAGGATTTCAAAGGACATAATCTGTTTGTCAGTTTCCAGAAACTGATTCTGGTGGTCTGTGTGGAATGGATTTTAGGGAGGCACAGGTGGGACAGCAGGTGGAAGAAGAAGTCCAGGCGAAATAGAACGCCAAGATGTGGCTACGTAAACGTCGGGGCTGTAAGCGTAGCCGGGTGCAGTCTGCAAATAGTGATGCAAAATGAGTGCGTTTCGTGTTAGAGATCTAGAAGGATTTGTTTCAGTACTGTCACAGTTAACACGGTTATTAAAGTATTATCAAAATTCTTAATTTGGGGAGTTCTGGTCCATATGAAATATGACATAAAACACTAACAGTGAAAAGTCTGAGTTAAGTAGTTTTTTTTTTTAAAGATTTTATTTATTTATGTGAGAAAGCATGTGGATGTGAGCAGGGGGCTGCGGAGGGATAGAGAATCCCAAACAGACGCTGCACTGAGCATGGAGCCTGACACAGGGCTCCATCTCATCATGACCCTGAGATCATGACCTGAGCTGAAACCAAGAGTCAGACGCTTAACTGACTGCGCCACCCAGGCGCCCCTGAGTTAAATAGATTTTTAAACATAACTTAAATGTGTTAGGATGTCAGCTCATCTCTAAGCACACATGGTGTCGTCTCAGGTAAAATTGGGATTTCTTACACAATCTGACACCGTTTCCCGAGCCTTTCTGTGTTGTGTGATATACTTAAATGTCAGCTTGCACTCGGAACCTCAGTTTTCCCATCTGTGAAACGAGGATCACGTTGCATTGCAGGTTGCTTTAAGAACTAAATGGCAGGGCGCCTGGGTGGCTCAGTTGGTTAAGCGACTGCCTTCGGCTCAGGTCATGATCCTGGAGTCCCTGGATTGGGTCCCGCATCGGGCTCCCTGCTCAGCGGGGAGTCTGCTTCTCCCTCTGACCCTCTTCCCTCTCGTGCTCCTATCTCTCATTCTCTCTCTCTCAAATAAATAAATAAAATCTTTAAAAAAAAAAAAAAGAACTAAATGGCACAGTGCTTGGCATATAGGAGAGATCTGGCAAAACCCTATAGCCGCTATTAATAACAGCCTGGAAAAACACCTTGATATCATTTCTTTGATTCATAAGGAAGAGGCGAGGCATCCTTTTGCTGGTGAGGAAGCAAATTTCCAAGGGAATTAATCAAGCTGGCGCAAATCACCACGTGAGCCTTTGTTAAAGGTAGAGCAAGCACCCGTGTGGTGATGAGCTCCCCGTGCCTGGTCTGCGCCGTGCATCCTGCCGTAGCTGGTCCAGGACCTGAGTCAGGCCCTGGCTTCCGTGACCGCGCCAGAGCTGTGGGTCTCCCTGGCTCTGTTCCCTCTTGTTTGTTGCCTCTGGGTGTGGGATTATTGCTTCCTTCCATTGCTGTGTGTCAAGGCCCAAGGCCAGGAGCTTCCATAAAGAGCTTGCAGACCAGGTCTGAGCTCTGAGAGAATTGCTGTATGTTTTTTGGCTGTGGATTCGTTGCAAAAGACAACTTGTGGGAAGCCAAAGAACCTTCCAGTACTTTAATTTTACACGGTAGTGTGTTAATGTCTTTCACCGCTTTTTTTCTTTAGGATTTTAGATCATTGTGCCAAATGCCAAAAACAATGTACTACTGCTAATTTTGGTGGTGTTTAATCAGGTTTTGAGCACTTTCTCCTTTTTAAGTAAGGATGTTAAAAAGTTTAATAAGTCACCTGTTCTGACCATAATATGCTCTTCTACCAAGTCTTCAGTAGTTATCTATAAAATAGTAACACTTTTATTCATGTTTCCTTATAATCATTTTTAACAAAGAAGGATTTTCCTTTCTTTCAGGAAAAGTGGTAAGAGCCCATTACCCAAATCCTTGAGAGACAAATAGATAACCGAGGCCAAATGCAAGTCTCCAACGAGGTCACGGTCATTAGGCAGTGCAAGCGGCTGGGAAGCAGGCTTCTTTCCAGTGTGAGAGATGACCCCTGTGAGGAGAACACCATTGTGGTTTTAAGAATTATAACAGCGTCTTATTCTTGGCATTCGCTTAATCCCTCGTAATATCTCATTAATACTTCTGTGGCTTTTTGTTGCCTTGTTACATTTTTAACCACTTCAAACCTTTTTTTTTTTTTTTTTTTAAAAAAACATGTCTTGAACTTTATCATCCCAATTTTAGTATATGTGCTGCTGGGGCAAGCACACACATCTTGAACTTTTAAACATCTGAGTAGAGTAAAAATTCTAATGTGTGAAACTCTTTGATGAAGGAAATAATTGCCTTAAGTGCATACAGTTCTTTGAAACACTTTTATAACCTGCTTTTTAGAGCTTGTGCCAGGAGATCCTGGTTTAACATTATATATTGAAGCTATTCTAAGATTAATTTTTAAAAGATTAAGTAAATGCCAAAGATTAGATTCTTACAGCCACTTTCAACTTACCACTTTGTTAATATTGATGAAGTCACATGATAAAGTCATTTGACTTTTTCACTTCAAGTCAAAGAGTAATTGTGGCTGAATCTTCAGTGTTTGTTACTTAAAATTTTTTCTTTTTGTAATCTTAATTGTAATCTCTACCCAAGTGGACTGATAGTGGTCACGTTGTTTGTCTTTCCCCAAAGAGATAAACAGATCTAGATAAATGTAACAGCTTTCTGTCTTAGCTCTTTCTTGTGTAGTTCAAGTGAAATTGCAAATAATTTGTTTGGGCAGGAGGGCTAGAGAGGGCATTTCCTTCTGAAGAAGGATGACCCTTCTATCTCACAATGGAAAATTCACTTTGGTGTTTCGAGTATTCTTGGTCAGACATTTATAGGGTTAGTATTATTCTCTAGCATTGTCCCTCTTTATATTGTTTTATTGTGCTTTTTTTTTTAAAGATTTTATTTATTTGAAAGAGAGAGAGAGAGAGCGCGTGAGTGCGAGATGGGGGAGGGTCAGAAGGAGAAGCAGGTTCCCCGCTGAGCAGGGAGCCCGGTGCGGGGCTCAATCCCAGGACCCTGAGATCATAACCTGAGCCGAAGGCAGACGCTTAACCGACTGAGCCGCCCCAGGCGCCCCTGTTTTATTGTGCTTTTTGTCATACTCAGGATTAAAGGCACCTACCTTTACAAGACAGCTGTATGCTGAATAAATTCTTGTCCTCAGAGGTGGCGTGCACAGCTTTACTAAGAGAAAGTAATACTGCCTCTGTGGTGAGCAAGTCTGACCCAGTTTCTGAAATCTGGGTATGAGGGCAACACACCGGGCTGTAACCATACATCCTAAGTAACCCACTTGAACTGCTACACTTAAGAATGAAATACCAGTAGGGTTGTATGCGTTATTAAAAAAAAAAAAAAATTTTGTTTAAAGATTTTATTTATTTATTTGAGACAGAGAACGAGCCAGCATGGGGGGGTGGAGAGGCAAAGGCAGAGGGAAAAGCAGGCTCCCCGCGGAGCAGGGAGCCCGATGCGGGACTCAATCCCAGGACCCTGGGATCATGACCTGAGCCGAAGGCAGACGCTTCACCGACTGAGCCACCCAACTAATAAAAAATAAAATTTTTTATTCACACAACTGGCACGTTACTTTGTTCCTCTTGTCAAAACAAAAAACGCAGATGATACCAGTTCTCTTCCAAAGACACTTCAGTAGGAATGTCCGTTCTGCATAAGAATAGAACTACGCTATAAATTACAGAGTAAATGTTCAGTATCTGAGAGGAAAGGCTGCCCATTGTTTCTAAGACTTTTTTGTGCATTGAACTCAGGTTGCCCCAGGCCAAAGAAACATTTGAACTCCTCGCAGTTGAGAAAGTGGAGCCCGCAGGACTGTGATTCTGGCCTGTGGAAGAACAGGGTAGGAGTAGAGAGGGAGGGAACATTTTTGTCCAAGGATACACTGGAGCTAGTACAACTTAATCTAATTCAAGTTAACCGATGTGGAACTTGAGGCTAGGTGAAGTTACCAAGCTCAATATACTTGTTCACGTGTGTATATCAGATAGTTTCATTAGAATGACTCATCAGCTTGAAATGGAAAAGATTTCTAATTCTTGCTTATTTTGTGACTCATCCCCGTAACCTGGACATTTGGGGCTGGGGCTGTCCCTACATGATTTCTAATGTTGTTGTGCCCGGTTTACGGATTCAGAAACTGAGGGTCCTCTGTCAGTGGCCTGTCCCACGGCCAGAGAGTTCGCACATGGAGAGAGATGGGGGGGGTCAGATGCTGTTAACCAGACAGGCTCTTTTCTTGACATCATACTTACGCAGAGGGAGATCGGCTAGGAGAGTCCGTACAATTGTTCCGTGTCCTTGACTCATTCAAGGTCAGAAAACTTGTGAATTCTCCTTTTAATGCCATTTTCGTATTCTGAGCATCCTCCCTTTGTATGACGGAAAACACACTCTACTCTCTAATAATTGTTTAAGCACAGGTACGGGTCAATCAGAATGGGCCCCACTTACCCAGCAGGTGAACGTCAGCTCAGGTGTAAGGCCTCAGGAAGCCTCGTTAGCAGCAGCGGAGAGCCCTTTACCCTCCTCTGGCCCGTTCACATTAAGGGAATCAAAAACCACCACCTCATTCTCAAAATCCTTATGTCAGTCTGCTGTAAGCTTTGGTTAGAACATTCTTATTTCAAGTTCTCAAGTAATTTGGGGGTTGGTTTGGTGTGTCGGGTCACGGAAAACCTCACTGCACGTGCAGAATTTCATGACTGAGTGGCCTGTCTTTCCCTTTCTCTAGGTCTATTATCAGCAGAAGATTCTTCTGCATAGTCGGCACACTGTACCTGTACCGCTGTGTCACCATGTACGTGACCACCCTCCCAGTGCCCGGCATGCATTTCAACTGCTCTCCGAAGGTAAACCTTTGCTCACTGTGATCGCCCTTCTTGTCTGTCTGTCGTCTTGCCCGGGGGTCCTCTGACTCAGGCCGGAGGTGACCGTTGCCTGAGAATATCGTCAAAGCCCTGCATCCTTATCCGGGAACGTTACTAAGTAATATGGCAGGGCGCCCCCCCGCCCCGGCCCCCTTCTCAGAATCTCCAAGCCCACCCGTGTTCCCCAGCTCGGAGCATACGTGGTCTAGTTGGTGTGCTGGAAGCGGTGAGGCTCTGTGTGTGGGTGCAGCTCTCTGGTTTCCTGCCAGAAGTTTAAAATACCATTCACTCCCTTGACACAGATCCAAGAGCTTTCAGATGCTTTTTCCCTCTCTTGGGTGGAAAGTGTGGCTTCCAGTGGTATGTTTCCCTTCTTTCTGTCACTCCCTGCAGTGGTGATCTGTAAGGGCAAGAGACACCGTCCCTGTCCCCTTGCACCGTCCGCCCACCCAAGCAGGGTCACTCTTCCCTGGAGGCACATTTTGCCCTGTTGATCTTCCCTAGTAGCACAGAGACCTTTCTTTAAAATAAACTCTATTCCTCTCCCATTGGCTCTGTTTTTCCGTCAGGTTCACAAAATACTCCTGACCCCCTAACTTTTACCTTACGACGCTTCCAACTAGGGAGACCACTGGGACTTCTGAATAATTAGCAGAAGATTCAGTTTTTACAGTGTTTGCCGGCCACAAAGCTCTAATGCAGTAAGAATTAGAAGAGGCTGGCTTCCTTGAGTAGGTTGGGAGGATACAGGGAGTGCCATGGTGCCCTTGCAATCATTTCTTTGCGTTGCACTTGCATTGGTAAAACACCCATGTGCTTTCGATTCCATCCCCTTTCACTTTAGTTCTTTCCAGAAGAGTCTTCTCTGCTAGAACTGGGCAAGAGAGCGGAAAAATTCACCAGGGTTTCAAAGTGGTGTCTTTATGAAATTCTGGACGCCGCTAGGTTACTTGCTTCACCGTGTCCCCTTCCTTCTTAGACTGAGGTGTGCACTCAGGAAGGTAGCTAGTTCCCTGCTTCTCTCCGTTTTGGCCTCAGGCTCTTCACTGAACTCTGGAAAAGCCGCCAGAAAGAATGAGTGGTCCCATCGTCCCTGTCAGCAGCCTCCCACCCCACCCTGGACCTTCCATCTTGTTCCATCGTCCTCCAGAGAAGCCAGCCTCACAGCTTCTCCAGCCTCTGTGAAAGCTCTCGAGCACTGCCTGTGGTTCCTGCGTTAGAGGAAATCTCTTATGATCAGTGAGGGGCCAGTGATGTGGACTCTTGGAGGGAGCCTGGCTTGATCAGCAGTGCGTTCTCAGTAGTAGGCGGACAGTTTAGGCTATTTGCCCAAGTTTAGTGGAGCTCCTTAAGGTCTATGCATGGGGAAGTTTATCCCACCAGGGAACACGGCATGCCAGGCCAAGCCCACAGTCATGGATGCAACGTGGATGGGTTGTGCTGTGTAGATGTTCTCCCTGCTCTGGTCCCACCCCCAGGACCTCTCTCTGCCACTCCATCCCGTTGCCGGCAAGCCCAAGCTTGGTTAACGTTGGCGCTCAGAGAGTCCGCCTGAGTCATCAGCAAATCCAGCCAAGGTCCCGTGGCTATAAATAGTTGTGGTTTTTCTTGGTAAAGACAGAGGTCACAGCAGGAACTGTGAAAAAAAAAAAAAAAAAACAAAATAAAAAACCCGGCCCAAATGTGCCATTTCTGGTGTTGCCAGAAATCCCGACTGGGGCCATCCTTCCGTGACGGTCATTTGGAAATTGGGATTTTTTTAAGGAAAGGAACACAGGAGGGGATGAAACGTAAGCACAGCTTAGCAAAAATAATTAGTTAAGGACTCGTTAAGTCTAATTACTACTTTTGTAAAACAGGCTCTTGGAAGAAAGGATTCAGAAAACAATTTACATTCTGAAAATTTTCGTACGTATCTCCTAGAGTAGAGAAGCTCATAACGGAACCTCCATATACCCAACACCCAGATCCAATAATTATCAAGACCTGGCTGCATTTGCTTCATCACATTTTTTTTTTTTTTGAAGTATTTTAAAACAAATGTCAGACAATGTCATTTGATGGCTATATGCTTTAGTGTGCATCTGAAAATTTTGGACATTTTATGGATAACTTTAATGCTGTTGGTACAGTGAACATGATCAATGGTAATTTTTTGGTATTGGCAGTTATCAGTTCATGGAATATCTTGATTGTCTTAAAAAAGCCTTTTTTAAAAAATGGTTTGTATAAATTAGGAGCCAACATCTTTACATTGAGTTGCTGTGTCTCTTAAGTCTCTAATTCTAGGCAGTGCTTTCTCCCTTTCTTTCTCCCGCCATCCGTAACTCGGAGAGATCAGATGGGTTATTCTGTGGAATAGCCCACGTTCTGGATTCATCCGTTTGATTCGTTGTCGTGTTGATTAGCCTTTTTCTCTGCTCCATTTCTTTCTCTAAATAGAAAGTGGGCTCTGGAGACCTGATTCAGTTGGTCTTACGTCTGTGGGCAGGAGGACTCCACGGGTAGGACGGGGTGGTTTCTGAAGCTGGATGGAAGAGTCCGGGGAGGCCGTGGAGGCTGGTGCCGCCCCTGGCCCAAGCCCACGGAATCCAGTGGCCGGTCCAGGCTGGCGCGCCACCCCGGGAGCCGTGTCAGAGGGAGAGGGGGCGCCGGAGAGGGGTCCCAGAGGGCCAGCGTGGCTGCTTACAGCCCAGCCCGGGGCTCGTCGGTCAGGACTGACAAGAGCCTCACGAAGAGTCATCCGGTCTAGTGGCTCCGTTCGGGGTCTCCCCGGAGCAGCCTCCCCCTGAACCATTGCACAGCGAGGGGGCTTCTCAGCCCTTAAAAATACAGGCTGAGTCATAGGAAGAACGGAGGTCGGAAGCAGCATGGGCTTGCACCCCCCGCGGCCCCGCTGTGTGGCACTTGTGTTTACTTCTCACGGCCTCTGGGCGTTGATGGGCAGCACGGCGCGGAGGACGCTTTCTGGGTCTGTCCTAAGGAGCTCTGAGAGTGAGTGGCGGTGACACGTCAGGGGCTCTGTGGGTACGAAATGCCACACGGAGGCAAGAAGAGAAGCTGGTGGCATGACCATGCTCCATCCCCTACGTCTGACCTGTCCGGTGACCGTTCATTTCCCAGGCCTGCGTATGGAGCTGAGCCGTACAAGACACCTTCTGTCTACTGTGCACTGTGAACTTGGTTCTGCCGTCCTCTTAGGCCCCATCATTGGCAGGCTTAATTCTTCCCTTAAGGCCAGTACTCACACCCTGTGGCTTCTAAGAAAAGTGGTCCAGCAGGTCTGCAGGAGTAGTTATGAAATTGTTCCCATTGTTCATTCATTTGATGGCGGCGTGTGCTTCACCCGACAAGATGTCATCGTCGTGGGAAATGAGGAGGAAGGAGAGTGGGCCTCCCAGCAGGTGCTCCTGCCACAGAGAGGAGCCACGGGGAAGCTGGTGTGTTCAGTTCCCAGCGGAGTTTCTGGGCCGCGCTTGTCCTATAGCCTGGTGGACGCGGGACGGGCTTCCAGCCGAGGCTGCCGAGTGTCTGATGCTGGGATTAGCCTCTTGAGCTCACCAAAGCGTCTCTGCAAGGAGCATGCAGGCAAACCAGAACACCCCCCCCACCCTTGTCATCTTGGTCCCACTGCTTAGGATTCGGTTTTAAAAAATCCCCAAAACTGCAGAAATATTTGAGAGTTCTTTAGTGTTCTTAGCTTCCTGTAAGAAAGCTTTTTCTAACTGTTGTAGCAAACTCCAAAAGGAGGAAAATAAAGAAACAACCTACCCTGGGCCCCCGATCCAGACAGCCGAAGGCCGACAGAGGAAATAACTTGCTGTTTTCAACTCTCATCTTAGTAGTTGCGGGAGTTAATCCGTGGCTCCGTGGCTCCAAGGTTTGCACACCTTGGAAAAGAGGGGGTTTAATTAGAGCAGGGACGCTGCACTCTGTGACACTGTTGTCAGTGGCCTAATCCTCCTGCGCTGGGAAGAGCCCCCTGGTGGACAAGGGCTGTGTTTGTGTGGCATGGGGGGTAAGGGCTCAGCGGGACAGGAAGTAGAGTCAGGACAGAAGGGCCTCCATAGCCTCTCCTGCTGTCAGTCATCCTGAGTCACAGGCACGGCAGAGGTCAGAGCCCCTCCTGCACCCCGCAGGTGAGCGGTGCTGGCCCCATCCCCAGGCTCCCAAGGCAAAGGGCCCGTACTCTTGGGGACCCCATGACCGTTCTGGCGTGTTCTCACGCTCTCGGGGTGCAGCGTGGGTGTGGCAGGCCACCCTCCACGCCGACCGCTCTTGGTGGTGTGATTGGCTCCCGCCAACCTTACCAGCATTTCTGGTACCAAAGCAGCTTTACGTCGTTGCGTTTGAGTGTGTGGAATCCAAATTGTCCGTGCCTGATTTTACCTCATTTTCTGCTCACGTCCCCCCGGCCCCCAGTTTCTTACCATCAGCGTAACCTGCCTTTTTGTTTGTTCTCACTTTTAACTGTTTCTTGCAAATAACTTCCAGAGCCTTCCCCATCCCGAAGCTCTTCTTCACCTTCCTCAGGCTCTCTCCACGATTCTCTTCCTTTTTCAGGGACAAAAAAGAAAAAATAGAAATGTGCTAAATTGTTTTTTTTCTCTCTTAAAAAGATTAATTTTTCCATTTTAAAGAAACTATACTTTTATTATAGATACATTGAAAAAATACAAAAAGAGGAAAATTTTTACCATCACTCCTGGTCCTATTTACTGTTGATGTTTCTGTATATTAGTCCTTTATGTATATTTGTCTTACATATTTCTGATCGTGCTTTCTGTACAGTTATTCCTGTTTCCTTATAGTTTAAGCTTGATATATGCAGTTTTACATGTTTTTATAAACCTTAAACTTTCTAAATGGTGTTTTGTTGTTGTTTTGTTTTCCTGAATCTCAGGCTCCACACCCAGCCCGGAGCCCGACCGACGCTGGGCTTGATCTCACGAACCTGAGATCATGACCTGAGCGGAGATCAA